GTGTGTGTGTGTGTGTGTGTGTGTGTGTGTGTGTGTGTGTAATTCTTTGCTTTTTTCCCTCCTGAGTCAGGGTCTAACCATGTAGGCCAGGCTGGTCTTGACCATGTAGAGCAGGATCAGACCCACAAAGATCTGTCTGTCTCTGCCTCCCATGTGCTGAGGTCAAAGATGTGTATCATTGCCGGGCGTTGGTGGCATATGCCTTTAATTCCGGCACTCGGGAGGCAGAGGCAGGCGGATCTCTGTGAGTTCAAGGCCAGCATGGTCTCCAGAGAGAGTGCCAGGATAGGCTCCAAAGCTACACAGAGAAACCCTGTCTTGGAAAAAAAAAAGACATGTGTATCATCGTGATTACCATTGGTGCTTCTAAGATTTCCTCTTCACAGGGGTCACCCAGGACCATCATAAAACACAGATATTTATGTTACGATACATGACTCATGGTGATGCCTTCTGTATATGTTTATCTTATTGGTTGGTGAAGGAAACACTGTTGGCCAATAGGGCAGCCAGATAGGTGGGACCAGGAGACGAGGAGGACTCTGGGAAATGTAGGCAGAGTGAGTTGACATGTAGGACTCAGAGGAATAACACCATGCAGGACATTACCGGGTAAGCCACAGCCTCGTGGGAATACATAGATTGATGAAAATGGGTTAATAATTAAGACAGAGCTAGCCAATAAGAAGCCCTAGCCAGTGGCCAACAGTATTATAACTAATATAGAGTCTGCGTGTTCATTTGGGACAGACACAGCAGTGGGCCCAGGCTGGTGGGAAGAGTTATTGTAACAAAATGGCACTGGCGAAGTGGTTTTTAAGAACTCCCACATAAAACCTGACAAACGCTTAAAAAGAGATTTTAGAAACAAAAGAACACACAAGCAAGGCTTCCTGGTAGCAGCATTTTTCTCCAGTGGGCTCTGTTTTCTGGAGACAAACAGAGACTCTAGAAGCTCCTTTAAGGGAGGTTTCCTGACTCGGCTTAAAAAAAAAAAACAAAAAACAAACAAACAAAAAAAAACAAAACCCAAAACTGCAGGGCTCTTTTTTCAAGAGGCCTGCTACCAAACAAAAATGGTGTGTATGAGAAGCTGGTGGCAGCTATGACCAGCATGCTGCATGGTAGATTTAGCTTTTACTCATAAAGGTTTAAGAGTCCAGGCTGTGAGCACATCTCCCAGTGCTGGTGGTAAACTTATGCACGCCATGCTGGAAAGCCAGTGACTGAAACGGCTGCCGCTTTAATTTTAGCAGATTAAGACTAGTGGCCAGAAAAAGATAAAGATTTACAGTAAAGACAGATTCAGAGGGAAAAAGAAAAACCTCTAAAAGATTTATAGATAAGATTTGGGGATAAAAGAAAAAAAAGATAAATGGTTAAAAAAAAAAGGAATAGAGGAGCTGCGTTGATGGCTCACACCTTTAATCCCAGCACTCAGGAGGCAGAGGCAGGAAGATGTCTGTGATTTCAAGGTCAGCCTGTTGTGAATTCCAGGACAGGCAAAATTACACAGAGAAACCCTGATGGGGGAAGTCCTTCTGTGTATATGTTTGTCTTATTGGTTGATAAATAAAGCACTGCTGGCCAATGGGGAAGCAAGATTGGTGGGGCTAGGAGAGAAGGAGGATTCTGGGAAATGTAGAAAAGACAGGAGTCTACATGTGATCCCATGTAGAGAGCTGATGGCGTCCTCAATAAGTCTTTATAAAATATATAGATTATTGGTTGTGGTTGACACTTAAGACAGAGCTAGCAAATAAGAAATCCTAGTCATTGGCCAGCAACATTGTAAATAATATAAATAACTCTGTGTGTTATTTGGGGGCCCTAACATGGCAGCAGAACTCAGGCGGTTGGTGGAAAGAGTTATCGTAATAAAATCCTGTCTCAAAAAAGGAAAAAATAAAAGTAAAGGAAATAGAGCAATAAAAAAGCCACATAAAGATGGAAAATACACAGGGAGTCTGGATACAGTATTTTATTCTGTTGTCTTTAAATTGTTTGATTGCTGAAGAAAGAGCAAAAGCTACTAACAAATATTTGATTATAAATGCTGCTGGATTAATTCAACTTATATATTTTAAAAATGCCTTGACTTCAAAATTTAAATTTAAGGACACGTTACTTTGGAAAAGAGGCTTTGTTTCCACAGGAAATGAAAAGCTGTGGATTCCTCCCAGACTAATATGGTTTGATGAAGCAAGACCCTCTGAAGCAATGGTCCAGGTGATCTCAACATCCAAAGCAGTTGAGATGAAGCAGCCTTGCAGACTACTATAGCCAGGATTTGTCCAGGTTTCTGTGTTTTCTCATGACCTCCATGCTATTTCAATGCCCCCTAACTGCAGGAAGTAGTTTGGAGAGAATGATACTTAAAATCCCAAATATTGTTTATAAATGTTTGCCTTCGTTTAAATGGGGTTGGTTATAAAGGTTAAGGATCACAACCAATCTCTTTGTAAAGGAAAAAAAGAGAATTATGATCTATAAATGAATACTTTGTATTGGAGTGGATTTTTATTTATTGATACAAATTTAAGTCAATTTTGTTATATGTATATTTCTCCTCTTGTTTAGGTATTGTGTTTATACAGCTCTTTTAAAAATGTAATACATAATTAAATAAGATTGTGTAGAGTCACCTATAATAGTCAAAACTTAAAGTTAGATTAGTTAGGTTTTCTAGATATACAGAGATGTATTTGAGATGGATAGATATTCTTCAAAACTTTCAAAGACCTGCAGAATATGGCGTTTAAAATGGTTTAGGTTTTTCTTGACAGTGAGACACAACTGTTCCTGGCAACACCAATTACTTCAGAGAGGAAGAAGGGCATCAAAGAAACTTGTTATGGAGTTTCTGCTTTTGACATGGCAGAAATAGCCATTTGGACAAGAAACTGTCCTTGCCTGGACTGTTTTGACTGTTGTTGTACAAACTGGACATGCAGGACGCACAGCAAAGTGACTGCTGAACTTGCAAAACAAGATGTACAGTCCTAACGGGTTCCTGCTTCATGGAAGAGTCTGACAGACATTCTGCAGGACACAGAGAAGCTGCCAATACAAGTGGACAGTTTAAAACTTCCTGCTTCACCGAGAAGTCTGCCAGGCACACTGTGGCCTATAGGCTGAAGATGGATGCTCCAACGTTACAGAGAAACTTTGGGTGACTGACCAGGCAGTGAGATGACTTTGTCAATTCTATAGTTTATATATTATCCTTCTGTGGTCTTTGATGGAGTTGAAGAAAGATAGTTATTAAAAGATAAATTACGTGTAAGACTTTAGACTCATAAAGATAAGATAGATGATAGAATATTTTCTTTAAATTTTGCTAAATGTTAATGGACTAAATATTGTTAACTATAGTTCTTATTTGATAACTGTTTTGTTATATATAATTTTACTATGTTAAAGTTAAAACCCTTCTTTTTATTTAGACAGAAAAGGGAAATGTTCCTCTGTTAATGAATAAAACACTGATTGGCTGATTGGCCAGACAGGAAGTGACATAGCTGGTCAGAATTAGGATATAAGCAAGGGCAAATGGGAAATCGCTCTCTTCTCTGTGGAAATGCTTAGGAGGTAAGGTGTGCTGTGGCTTGCTCCTTCTCTTCAATCTCTCATCATTTCCCTCTATATCTGACTCTGGTCTTTTATTATCTAGACCAATTAAGAACTCTTTTTTTTTTTTAATCATTATACTGCTTTTATTTTTTCTTTCTCTCCACATATGGTCTTTTTATTAAGAATATTTTTTTCTTTTTTAATTTAAATTAGAAACAAGCTTGTTTTACATGTCAATCACAGTTCCCTCTCCGTCCCCTCCTCCCCTGCCCCCTCTTTGCCCCCTAAGGAGGGTGAGGCCTTCCATGGAGGATCTTCAAAGTCTGTCATTCCATTTGGAGCAGGGCCTAGACCAGTGAAGTCACAGTTCTGAAGTAGAAATGAAAACAATTTTATGGTCACCCACAACATGAAGAACTGTATTAAAGGGTCGCAGCATTAGGAAAGTTGACAGCCACTGCCCTAGATGGTTATACTTTTCTCTGTGTTTGGGAAATTTCCTTTCTTTTCTTAAACAGTGTGCTTTCTATTGTACGTTTCTCCACTGCCCTGTGGTGTCAATGGCTTATACTTCTGCTCCTTCTGGCTATTACTCCTGAAGAAGGCTGGGCATTCATGATTCCCATGTTGTTCTCACTGACACCATGATGTTTGAAGGGTGTGTGAATGGTCCATGTCAAAACTCCTGGTTTCGCACTGGGTCTCTCCACATCATGGGGTGGGGAGAGGAAGGACGGTTGGGAAAAAGCAAAAAGTCCACTTTGGCCCATGGACTACACTGAGATGGTGTGGATGAAAATCTTGGCTCCCCTGTAGGCCTTTTATGACTTCTCAATAGTGGAAATCTTCTTTTGTCATTGGGTGGGGCCATAGCCGGGGCAGGACTATGGTTTTCTTGGAGGAGGGCAGTTATTGTCTAAAAGTTCCTTGTCCTATGGCAGAAAAGAGTAAGGTGCGAATAAGTTTCGTGTGTAGTTTTAACTTTTTCTGCTCCCATTAGTATTTGCAGGTATATAAGGCTTATGAAAATTCAAGGTGAGGCTTGCTTCAGGTCCTAAGAGCCTCCCATGGTCTCTTTCTCTTCTTCACCTTTGAAGTCTTTCAGGGTTTATGTCACAGATAATGCTCAGGGTCTTTAGTTGTGCTAGCAGGCAGTCTGTAAATGGTGACATTAGAAAGCCGGTTCCTAGGATTATCGTGACCACACTAGGCCTGTGTCATGGTCATGCTATGACTGCCTTATAAACGCTGCTCAGCTGCTCATCCACAGGAACACCATGGGACACCAAGGAGTTAGGTGAATCAGGGAGACACAGGGAGTCTGGGGGTGTCCTTAGGGAACGAACTTTCTAAGCCCCGTTTCTCTACTCCAAGGAACAGACGTGGAGGACCAAAGTTTTGGAACTTTAGCCATGAATACAGCTCAGCTGTGTTTTCCACAGCAGTGTTGCCGCCCTCTGTATTTACTGAGTACTTCGCCTCCGATGTGACTCACTTTCAAGGGAAACTTTGTGTTGCTCTGGGATGTGTGCCCCTGGCAGGAGGGTGGCTCTAACAGCTTGGGGCACGCAGGGCCAGCTTGTAGTCGTGGGGTCCTCCGAGGTCTAAACCCCAGCCCGAGAGAAAGGGGGACCAGACTTATGAACACATTCGTATCTATACCCTAACACGCATGTAAGGAAGATGTCCTCCTGGCAGCGGTACAGTCATGGGGAATCTCCAGACACAGATGCCATGCGATCCACGTGGTTTGGTGGCAGGTCACCCTTTCTCGGCAGGAGACAGGAAACCTGTTGTTGGTTCATTTGAAAATTTGCAACCACACCCTTCCTTCTTCCAGCTCTGAGGTACTTAATTAAAAAAAAAACAAAAACCCAACAAACTACCTCCTTATTCCCAAACATTTCTGAGCAGACACTCAGCATCTTTTCTTTGCCCCAACACCGCTTTTGTTCCTTTACCCTGTGACAAAATGTCACTTGCCAACACAGTTCCTCTTGAAACTGGGGTGAATTAAAATTTATCTCTTCGGGAGCAGTTGGGAGACCCCCTTTTGTGATCAGTGCAGAACCCCTGGGGGTTCAGCCCAAGCTCCACATATGCTCATCCCCTGGAGGAGGGTGCAGCTCGTAGGAGGTGATTCTGGAAAAACCCTGAATCTGTGATTCCTGCTGATGCTAGATTGCAGGACCAGAGGGCAGTTAGCACATCCTGGTTGGCAATCAGGGAATGGTACCTTTTACCAACCCCTGTTTGTCTAGAACAACCAACTCCACTTTCTTGAAGAGTTCTGATCTTAACAAGACGAAACTCCTACCTTTTCTATTCACCAAGCACTCAGACTTTCCCTCCCTCCCTCCCTCCCTCCCTCC